ATGGAAGCTGAGATAGGGCACTTTGGAAACTTGTTGTCTCCTAAGGCTGAACATTGGATTCAAAGTCATAAAATATTTGCAACCTGTATATCTAGGGTTTATTCCATACTTGGGCAGGGAACGTGTCAGTTCAAACCTTAAAAACTGTGATGGATCTCAACTTGATTAAAATTTCACTTATTCTGTATGACAAATGACTTCCCTTTCAATTCCAGATGAAAATCAAAGGGTGTTAGTCAGTTCCAGGTAAATGTTGACTCTGCTAGCTCATAAAAAAGCACTTAGACGTGATGGATGGGACTAACAAGTGACATGAGATCTCTTTAGCAAAAACGAGCACTCTGACAATATTTTGTACAAGTAGGTAAGTTAGAAGTGTTGTACTAGCAATTATTAGCCAAGTGTTAGCCTTTCTGGAAATTAAGTGATGCTGTATGTCTAAATTAGAAACCACATACAATATAAAAACCACTGAATATGTTATGAAAGGCAGGCATGTCATATAAGACAGCGCTGCCATACTCAGAGATCACAAATGGCTTATTGTAACCTAAACAAATATGGCAATAATGCAAAATCTACAGTTTTTAAATTACCATTTTCTCCCTAATTGCTCTGAGTAAATCATGAAGGGCTTATCTCTACATTTACCCCCTCTTTTTAAATACTCTCTCTCTGGTTCAACATTTATTTAGTACCTTTCTGGGGGCCCCTTGGGCTGTTGCTCTGAATCCCCTGGTCTAACTGTGGAGCACACAAGTATGTGTAGAGCATACACCTGAGGATTCTGGGAAGACAGAAGTTGAATGTGTCCCTAATGCCTTTTGTCCCACTATTGATCACCCTTTCCCCGTCAGATAGGAGCTGGGGTATCTGAAGGAATGGCCAAAGGATATGAATGAGGCCTTGGCTCTGTCAGTGCCCCTCCCCATTGTGTCTGGAGATCGGTAAACACTCCCTGGAATGGGAACTTGGTGGGTCCCAGGAAGCCTCCACTTTTGAGGACCTGTGACTATCTCAGAAGATGGCCAGAGGTTCCCCAGATGCAGGAATCTGTCAAGGAGCTGCCACGTGTCTAGAAAGCAGAATTGCTGCATATTTGGGCTGAGTCTCTCATAGCCATCCTTCTCTGGGCTGCAAGTGCAGAGAGAGGGGGATGGTTTATTCTGGTACCACGGACAAGGGGTGGCAGCTTACCTGCTGGAGGGAATTCTGCTGGCTGGCTGGGCGAGACATGGATTGCTGCGCGCGCACACACACACACACACACACACACACACTCACTGTTATTGGAGCGCTTGATCTGGCTTGAAGCCCCTCAACAGCTTTATCTGACCCCAGTGAGTGAGTAAAAACAAAATGACTAAAACATAAGCAGATTGAAATGTGTTATGTGTCATTGTAGTTCAGCCAAGACTGATAAGAGGACACATGACTGGACATATTCTGGTCAATTTCTGATGCACAATGACAAAGAGAAAATCTTTATATTTTAAGACAGAATGAACAGGTTACTTACAGGGGAAAAAAGAAGACTAGAAATTGCTCTTCTGCAGCTCTGGAAGCTCATCAGATACTGTGTGTAGATTTCCAAGAAAAAGCTCCTATTCTGAGAATGTGGTCTACAGCAACGATATCATCACCTGTGGGGCAGGGCGAAAGAAATGACAAACATTCAGGATTCAGACATTGTATCACCCACACCCCGCATCTGTAGGCAGCAGTCAAAAATAGACTCTAACTAAACAAGAAATGAATCACTACAGAGACTTCGATGTGGGAGAGGATGAGAAGGAGAAGGAACAGCAGAAGTTACATCCCGTTAGTTCAATCTCAATGGATTCCAGGGGGTGACTGGGTCTCATGTGTAAAATAAAAATTCTGAAATAGAAGAAACAATCTACTTTTTAAAATCTTAAAGCAGTTCTGAAACGAAACCACTAAAAATATGAAATGATGTAATCAAAACTGAGGAGTCGGCGTTGGGAGCGATGAAGTAGGAAGGAGAGAGAATAGTTACAAGTTCTCAGGAGACAAGGAAGTAAGAATATGGAAGGATTTTATCTGCCATAATGGGGAAGAGGCAGAAGAGGGTGGGAGAGGGTGTCTGGTGAGGGAAATGGCTGATTTCCTGTTGGATAAAACCAACGTGTGTTTGGTCATGAGTGTCGTGAGTGGTGACTGGTAGGAAAGTGGCAGAAGACAGCACTTTAAATATTAACTATAGCCCTGGCCAGTTTGGCTCAGCAGTTAGAGCATTGGCTTGAGGATCAGAGAGTCCTGGGTTCGGTTCCTGCTAAGGGCATGTACCTCGGTTGCAGTTTGTCTCCAGTCCCAGTTGGGGTCGTGTGGGTGGCAACCACTCGATGTGTCTTTCTCATGTCGATGTTTCTCTCTTTCTCTTCCTCCCTTTCTCCCTCCTGCTTATCTGCAGATAAATGCAAAAAAAAAAAAAAAAAAAAAAAAAATCCTCAGATGAGGATAAAAAAAAAAATTAACAATAAACATTTAAGATGTGAGTGTTTACTTGGTCACATCAGTAATAAAAGAAAAAGAAAAAGAGAAAGCCAGAAAGTAAAATGAATGTAAGATGGAAGGGATAAAGTCAAAATTGGAAACAAAAGGAAGGGAAATAATTCTAGGGAAACAGAGGAAACAGAAAGAACTCAGGAGCGACAACATTAATACTAGGCAAGGTGAAGTTTAAAGATAAAAACACTAAACATAACAAAGAGGGACGTTTTAGAATAATAAAATACCCAGTTATTGAAAAGAAATTGTGTGAACTTACTTCAATCAGCATAATAATTAAATAATAAAAACTTTTAGAAATGCAAAAAGAACTTGATTAAACAATGGGAAATGTTAATGTACTTTCAGAATCAGGCTAAGTAGGTTAAAAATAGGTAAGGACAGAGATAAATCAAATAATGTAATAAACAAATTTGTATGTGTAATATATATCTTTGGGTTAAGAATATAGGGATTTTTCCTTATGGCTCAGGAAATATGAAAAAGTTGGCCATATATGAGCCACAAGGAAAACCTTACCAAAATAACCAAAATACTTCATTGGCCACATTCTCTGATAATAAAAAAGTGTAATGATAAATTTATAATAAGAATATGGAACACTCTTAAATAACATAAAATTAATGGAGAAATATAAAAAAAGAATAAAAAGGAGAACATATTATACAAGAATATGGGGTGTGTGTGAAAGTATTGTCTCTCAGTGCCTTGATTAATAGAGAATACAGGCTAAGAACATAGGAAATTATGCTCATTTGTGAACTTATAATAGAACAAAATTAACAAAAGAATATAGAAAACTCAAATTAGTAAAAATAAAAATTGAAATAAATGAAAAAATTGTACTGAAGATAAATAAATGAAAAACTATATTCTTTTTGCAAAACCCAATAAAAACATAAGCCCTCGAAGGAAAAATACCAAAATTATACAAGATTGAAAAGAGGAGAGAGAAACAGAAGAAATGAAAATAATTAGAAGAGATTACTATGTGCAGTCCTTGGCAGCAAATTTGGAAACCTAGAGAGGAAAGTGATGGTTTTATGGTAAACAAGAAATGACCCAAGTTGGAATAAAGAGACAGGAAATTTGAATAGACTTTAGAAGATGCTGAAAGTGGGATTAAAATCTATTATTAAAAAGCCCCAAGAATTTCTAGTTACGTATCTGAGTTCTATATAACATTGAAAGAAAAAATAATTCCCAAATCATGCGCATTAACCCAGATTATAGGTAAAGATGGAAAGAACCCCGATTTATTTTTTGAAGCCTGTAGAAATTAAACTTCAAAACATGTAGAGCTAGTACAAAGAAACAGTGTAGGTAAATCTCTCTTATAGAGATATGAAAATTTTAAATGAAATGTTAGCAAATAGAATAAAAAAAATATACTGACCAAGTAGTGCTCATCCAAGGAATGCAAGGAAGGTTCAATATCAGGAACTAGATCAACATAGTACATCAAAATGTGGAGGAGAAAACTAATATGGTCATATACGGGGGCATCAAACATATTTGATGTAACATAATTAAAATGTTTTAATATTATTGTAAGTAAGATGTAAATAAATAGCAACTGCTTACATATATTGAAAGAGCTTTCCAAAAATAATTGTTAATGTCCAAAAAAAAAAAAAAAAAAGAGAGTGAAGACTAATCAGAGACAAAGTTATGTATTTTTCAACAAATACAAATAAAATAATAAATTAAAAAATATTCGAATTGTTTTGCTGATTATACTCACTTTCATAGGAGAAAAAACGAAACAAGTGCTATAAAGGTTGGGAAATAAAGTATCCTATCCTCACAGTTGTCCCCTTTCTGCACTTCTGTCATGGGGAAGGTCAAGGTAAATTCTACAGTGTCACATGGCATTAGTTAAGGAACAGGTTTTACCCATCAAAGGGAAAATTCAAAGACCAGAGTTAGTAAGACAGATGCATGCAGGCCCTCGGGTTCTCAACATGGAAAGCTGAGGTGGTTTGGGGCGTCTCTGAATGTGGCATCTCTGAGTCCCATTCCAGCGGAGGGCCCCTCCTCGCCCAGCCTCTCCCCTAGAGGACGAGCCTGAGAAGGTATCTGCACGCTGGAAGAATACAGATGCTGCTTGAAACGGAGCATCCTGGGCGTAGAGCGACAAATGTTCCCAGTGCATTCTGGGAAAGCCAGTTGCCTTGCGTCTGGGTGTCCTGGCGAAGGCGGATCTCGGTCCTGATGGGACGTTACAGGACCTCAGCCAGAGACAGCCTCTGAGCGGAGTTCCATGCGGCTCCGCTTGCTGGCGAGAAGGGGAGACCCTGGAATGAGTATCAGGGTCCGTTTGGGACACTCCTGCTTCTTGAATAATGGAAAGAAAAGGCAAAGATATTTAATTTGGTCAGAGATACAATTTTATAAAAGAAAAATCCAGAAAGCTTGACTTTAAAACACATATAAGATTAATATATAAAAATAGTTCCGGGCGCCCGCGGAGCAGCTGGAGCCGCTGGTTGGCTCTGCTCCGGCCGCGGCGGGGTTCACCGGCCCGAGGCCGGGTTCCAAGCTGGCCCCCCGGAATGTCGGTGGCCTTCGTTCCCGACTGGCTGAGAGGCAAGGCGCAAGTCAACCAGGAGACCATCCAGCGGCTCCTGGAGGAGAATGACCAGCTAATCCGCTGTATCGTGGAGTATCAGAACAAAGGCCGGGCGAATGAGTGCGTCCAGTACCAGCATGTGTTACATAGAAATCTCATTTATTTGGCTACCATTGCAGATGCGAACCCTACCAGTCCTTCAAAAGTAATGGAATAACCTTCCGCCTGGCTGTTGTGAGGAGTAATGGAATGTAATCCACTTCATGTGAATTGGAGTCAGGATCTTTACCAACTGAACTGCTGAAAACATGAAGGAAATCTCTGGCTCTTTTTAAAGGAAATGTGAAGAAAGCTACTAAATTAACTGTATTTCAGTGTATCATGGGCAGGGAAACTAAGCCTGCTTTCTTAGCTTCAACCCGAAGAGGAAACCGAGCAGCTGCCTGGCAATCAGAAGGAACCGGGGAGGCTCCCAGCTGAGGCCCTGCCAGTTGGACATGTAACTGCGTTTCCCCTTCGACCAGTTTGGAGCTCTGGACCCCTGCCTGCTCTTTTCAGGTTGCTTCGAAATAAAGTTCGTCTTTAAAAAAAAAAAAAAATAGTTCCTTAACTGTTAGCAATTCCCAGCTAAACATGGAAATGTGGAAAATTTAATTCACAATAATAACAAAAGCTATGAAATATCCAGAAATTATTTTAATAAGAAAGGTACATGAAAAATAATTATAATATTTTTGAGGGTTGGAAAATACATATATTTTTAATCCTCACCTGAGGACATTTTTGCATTTATCTTCAGATAGAGCAGGAGGGGGTGGGGAGAGATAAACATTGATGTGAGACAGACACATCAACTGGTTGCCACCCACATGACCCTGGGGAACTGAACCCAGGACTCTCTGGTATGCAGGCTGACGCTTTAACTGCTGAGCCAAACTGGCCAGGATGAGGGTTGGAAAAGAGTTTCAGCATCACAAAGACATACCTGACTATTGATAGAAATGTTTAATTACTGAAAATCATAAATAAATTTCTGTAAAATTTATATATTGTACGTAATGAAATCCTAAAGAGAGTCACATTTTAAATGAGATAAAATCTCCCTATAGAAGACAAATGTCTGACAATAAACAAGAAAATAATGCCAGATATCAGTGTACTATACCGTCCCCAACAGAATAAAAGTTACCGAGAACCATAAACAGATCCCGGATATACAGAAATTTACTATGTGACAGGTTAGTATTCAATTTTAATTGTTATATACAGTATTTCTTTAATAAATGTTGCTGGCACAAATGGAAATTTATTAAGAGGAAAATAAAATTAGACTCTCCCCTCATATACAAAACAAAATTTCAGATAAAGTCAAAACCTAAATGAAAATTTAAAAACATTTAAATCTTAAAAGATAATTTATGTGACCAGGAATTGAGGAAGACAAATCCAGATGCTATAAAAAGATACCACATAAACAACACAAGTGGACAGATGATGGCTTAGAAAAGCATGTGCAAGGAATGTTTTCTCTTTTCTTTAAATGCAAACAACTGAGTTTGGGAGGAAACAAGCAAAAAGGACAAAATGGTCACATGTGACCTAATTCCATTTCCTGTGTTTCTAGAGCAACATCGGAAATACATTCAATAAGTGTTCATGGAGTTGTTTCAGGATTAGCAGTGTTTTAGGTGACTTGTACTTGTTTAAACTTTTATGTATTGCTCAAAATTTTTAATCACGATTGTGTTTAACTCATATATTTAGCAAGAAGCTTTTTACAATTTGGAAATAAAAAACATCCACATCATTTGGGGGAAATGATTGTGGACATTAGATCCCTGTGATCTCTGATATTCTGAAATTTGCACGGACTGGCTCTGTTTTTTTTTTAAAATGCTGTCATTTCAGAAAATGTGTTCCTGGTTGAGCCTGCTGTCAACATTGAATTCACATTTAGACAGAAGCCCTTGGTCAGGTCGCACAATGAACCAGGCCACTGCCCACTTCTTAGGGCTTTGACGTCATGTTTGTACCCTTTATTCTGCCCTCGCTGGTGGCCGCAGGGTCTATTCCCCCACCCCAACCTTGCCTGGATTTCCCTGGGCTTCTGTCTTGTGGATCCGTGCGTCACAGGACAGAGGGACAAGCCCCACGGATGGTGTCAGAGGTACCCTGTCATTTATTTTTTGGGTATTGAAAGGCACCAGCTGCCCTCCAGAACACCAGTAACTCCCCAGGAAGAAAATGGTACCTTGTGTGTCCTCCCTGCAGTAGATAAATGATGCCAGCAATTTCATCATGTTCTATAGTGACAGGTTAGTAGTATGAGGGACAACCTTTGCTCAGATGTTTCCTGTTCTGGCTCCAGGAGGATGTGAATGTGGTCAGGGCCTCTTTATTCTGTTCAGCAGGCTCTACCGGGAGGCTCCCTGAGCTCCCGAAGGTCACACAGAGTTGGTGAGGGAACCGGATGTAGGAGCCCTCAAAAGTCACAGGACTGATGGGACTTGAAGGGACCCCCAGGTTCCACGTCCTGACTTTAAACAGGTCTGTGCCCACAAATTGGGTTGTTAAATCACGTCTTTGTGAGCACACACTCATTCAGGTTTTTCTTTCCTCCTGTGTGGACAGTGGGGCCACCAGAAATGACATGTCCTCATGTTCACACGTGTGGAGGGTGCTGTTTCCCAGAACCTGGGTGACTAGTGTTCATGGTTCATGAAGGTCACAGAAACAACTAAAACAGAGACTGGAATTTTTTACCTCGGGTTCTGTAAAGATGACCAAAACACTGTTGAGGTCGACTGAAACCCCGCTAAAGACTTAGAGACTCGCCCTGGCCAGTTTGGCTCAGCAGTTAGAGCGTCGGCCTGTGGTCCCGAGAGACCCGGGTTTGGTTCCCGCTGAGGGCACGTACTTCGGTTGCAGTTTGTCCCCGGCCCTGGTTGGTCATTGGTCGTGCGGGTGGCAGCCACTCGATGTGTCCCTTCACGTCGATGTTTCTCTCTCTCTCTCCCTCTCCCTTCCTCTCTTTCCCTCCCACTCTATCTGTACAAAAAATGGAAAAATATCCTCGGGTGAGGATTAAAAAAAAAAAAAAAGACTTAGAGACTCACGGGTTGACTCAGTTAACCAGGTGTAATTGTAGCCTATGTACCTACGTGAGTGTGTGTGTGAATGTATGTGAGTGTGTGAGCGTGAGAGTGTGTATGTGTGTGAGTGTATGTGTGTGTGAATGTATGTGTGTGAATGTATGTGAGTGTGGTATAATTGTGTGTGTGTATGTGTGTGAGTGTGTGAATGTATGTGAGTGGTGTGTGTCAATGTGAGTGTGTGCGAGTAAATGAGTGTGTGTTGTGTGTCAATATGTGAGTATGTGAATGTGTGAGTGTGTGAATAAATGTGTATTTGTGTGTGTGAATGTGAGTGAGCGTGTATGAATGTGTTTGTGAATGTGTTTGTGTGAGTGTGTATGAGTGTTTGTGTGTGTGAGTGTGTGTGAGTGTGTGTATGTGTATGTGTGTGAGTGTTGTGTGTGAATGTGTGTGTATGTGAGTGTGTGTGTGAATGTGTGAGTGTGAATGTATGTGAATGATGTAAGTTTGTGTGTGAATGTATGTGAGTGGTGTGTGTGAATGTGTGTGCGAGTGATGAGTGTGTGTGTCAATATGTATGTGAATGTGTGTGAATAAATGTGTGTGTGTGAATGTGAGCGTGTATGAATGTGTGAATGTGTGTTTGTGAGTGTGTGTGTGAGTGTGTATGAATGTGTGTTTGTGTGTATGGGTGTGTTTGTGAGTGTGTGAGTGTGAGAGTGCGTGAGTGTGTGCGAGTTCGAGTGTGAACCTCTCTCGGACAAGCCCTGCATGGAGCAGGTGCTCTGAGGAGGCCTGAACTGCAGTGCTCGGCTGGGAGCGCCCTCTGCCTCCCAGCTGCGGAATCCAGCCGACCATCCAGCTCAGTCCAGGGCCGGCTGATGTTTCTTCATTCTCCCGTCTCCATGTTCTCCATTCATCTTCCCTCTGTGCAGAGCAATTATCCTGAGCAATTACTTGCTTATATCAGGAAATTGAGTACCAGTTGGCCTATAACTGCTCATTCCAAGAATTCTCTCCCTGTGCAGGGGGGGTCTGTCTCCCTGACCCGAGGACCCTCTCGTTGGCCCTGGGGGATGGGTGTCAGGTCAAGGAGAAGGTCTCCTACTGCACAGGATTTCCTGAGGTCCTGAACCCCTCTGGGTGCTGGTATCGAACCTCTCTTTCTGCCGTTGGCAACTGGAATTTGTGCCTAAGCATTTCAAGTCAATTAGGTTAGAAATTCATAGCATTAAAAAAAAAAGAATTTTGATTACATACAGCCATTTCATTATACACCTGTCTGTCTATCCCCCCTCTCTCCCTGACTGTCAAGTCCCTGGTGGTGCTTATTCTACGCACAGGGGTGGGCCCACGTGGGAACGCAGTGAGGGTTGGTTTCCCGTCCCCTGCTGGTGAGTTTGTTGTCATTCACTTGGACGAGGGACGTCGCATTCACAAGCTTATTTACAGTCCCTGTTCACTGGTTAACACAGCCGATCCCGAGAGTTGAAATAGAGACTGTCTGTCACTCAAAAAACTAGGAGTTCTCTGTTGGTGGTCAGGTCCCAGATTAAAGATCGTTTTGGAAAAACAGGGTTAGTAGACAGAAAACTGAAAACTGAACGCTACGGCTGATTTCCGATGTCATCTGGTCTCTGACCCCTGTCCCAGAAGCTTTGACAGGGTTGCAGTGCCGTTGTCAGGGCAACGTGGCTGCTCTGGCTCACTGGCTCCCCTGGAAGTATCTGGGAGAGAGTGAATGGAATCAGCCATTCCCTTAACCTCTTGTTCCAGTGGGGAACCTTGGGTCCTGCAGGTCCCTGAGCCCGCTGCCACCCCTGCTGGCCCCAGCTGCTGAGAGAGACGGGCTCTCAGGACCCACTCTAAGTTGGGCTGGGACCCCTTCTCCCCAAAGAGGCTGTGGGCAATGTGAGCTCAACAGAAGACCAGACTGAGTGAAGAGCGTGAACTCATCTCTACTCCTTGCACGCTCCCCCCACCCCAAGTGCCCATCCTCCTCTGAGATGTTTCTGACCATGCCTGAGCCAGAGGGAATCCATGTCCTGCGTCCTGTGACCTCCATCCGACCCTATCATCTGCTTTTCCTTCTAGCTCCCAATCTGGAAGGGCTCAGGCGCAAAGCCTCTGTTTGCTCCTAAACTGTCCTGTAGCAGGGCGTGTCCAGGGAAGCCTGGTGCTTGGTCCGCGGAGCACCAGGGCATCACCCTGCAGCAGTGCGCAAGGAACGTGCACCGGGCGTCACCCTGCAGCAGTGTGCAAGGAACGTGCAACGGGTGTCACCCTGCAGTAGTGCTCAAGGAACGTGCACCGGGCGTCACCCTGCAGCAGTGCGCAGGGAACGTGCACGGGGCGTCACCCTGCAGCAGTGCGCAGGGAACGTGCACGGGGCGTCACCCTGCAGCAGTGCGCAGGGAACGTGCACGGGGCGTCGCCCTGCAGCAGTGCGCAGGGAACGTGCACGGGGCGTCGCCCTGCAGCAG